AGGCCCTCGTTTTTCAGTTTCAGGCTGAAACGACCGGGGCCTGTAAGCCCTATTTTCTAGGCTTTTAGGCTGAAAGTGCGGGACGGGCCCTGCAGAGCCCGTGTGGCTACGCAGTATGCCACACCCCCCCCTCCTTGAAAAATTGAGCTTACCTGCGAGGGCGAAGCTGTCTGTCTGAGGGAGGGACCACAGTCCGGGTGGGAGGGGCCGGTCGTGAAGCTTCCTGAGCTAACCTTCGCTTCTCATCATGTGTGTAGATCGGCGGTGCGGATGCTTTCAAATCTGCTCCTGAAATCCACTGAGTGTCGTCGCGGTCGCAGGCTTTGAATGTAACTTTGTACTGTCGCGGCTTGCTGCCGTACTTGCGATCGGTGATGACGCGGTCAACTTCCAGATGACAATCCATAGAAGGAGGGTCCTACGATCGTCGGCCCGGAAAGTCGTCGCTCTTAGCTGGCGTGTATGTTTCCAGCTTTGAGGCGTGAAAGACTGGATGGACCGTCAGATGCGGGGGGATGTTGATCACAAATGAAGGGCAATCGGGCTCATCGCCCACGGCTGATGTTAAGGGCCATGGTCCAAACCACTTGGGAAGCAGTTTGCGTGAGACATCCTGGTCCAGTGCAAACTCTTCCACGGAAACCCAAACCAGGTCGCCGGCGCGGATGAGACATGGCACGATGCCTGTTGGCTTGCTGCTGCATACGGACTTGATCCTTTTGCATATTCGCGCGGGTTTGAGCCAGCAATTCCCTGGACTTTCGGACGGAAGCAGGAGAGCAAACGGCATCGATGTCGGCTGGTCGTGGGAGGAGAAGGTCGGCGAAGATACGGCCTTTCCGTCCACCATGGTGCAACTCGAATGGAGTCACGCCGATCGCCGGGTGCACCGAAGTGTTGTAGGCGAACTCGATGTCAGGGAGGCGGTAAACCCAATCTTTCTGGTCCGGACGGATGAGCGTACGAACCATCATTTGAGCGGTTTGATGTGCCCGCTCCGCCTGCCCGTCTGTCTGTGGATGCCGAGCCGAACTTGGCTTCATCTTCGTGTCGGCCTCCTGCATGAGTGCAGTCCAAAATGCCGACATGAAGCGAGTGTCGAGGTCGCTGACTATGTCTTTCGGTACACCATGGCCGCAAATCTAGTCGGTGTGCAGGAGGCGTGCCAGCTCGGGAGCCGTGGAGAAGTACTTGCAAGGGAGAAAACGCGCGTACTTACTCAATCGGTCCACGACCGTGAGGATGCCGTCGTGTCCGAGGCGGTCGCGGGGGAATGGTCTGGTGACATCTATGGCAATGGAGAGACCGGGTTCTGTGGGATCGGCATCGGGCGCAGCTCGCCGTAGGGGTTGCGGTTGCGGGGTTCGCTTCGTCGGCAAACTTCGCAAGAGTCGCAATACCTCGTAACGTCGATGATGAGGTCGGGCCATCGGAATTGCTGTCGAAGCCGTGCAATAGTGCGGTTGACTCTGAACTGGACGGTGAGTCGCGAATCATGATACTCGCCGAGGAGGCGAGTCCAAAGACGGCGGTCGCGTGGGACACATAGTAAGTCCTTGCCCCGCGAGTGCAGGAGCAAGTACCCATCGACGATTCGATAGTGGCTGGCCGGCGGGTGATCCGAAGATAGCTGCGCATATAGCGTGGCGAAGTCTGGATCGGACTCGTAGCCCCTGATGAAGATCAGGTCTTCGCGAGAGTGCATCTGCTGCGTGATTGGAGAGGCCGGGAAGATGTTTCGGTGTGAAGTCGAATTGGTCGATGAAGTACATCCATCGTCCGATCGTGCTGCTCACCGTATCCTGCGTCTTGTAGTAGGTCAATGGATTGTTGCCTGTGACCCATGTGAACCTACGACGCCCAAGGAGGAAGTGTCGCCAACGCTTGAGAGCCATCACGAATGCGAGCAGCTCCTTCTTCCTTGCATCATCAAGCGAGTTGATGGGAGGCACTCTGTGGCTGAAATACTCCATAGGGTGCCAGTCGTCGTCGTCGTGCTGTTCCAAGACTGCCCCAATGCCATAGCCGGAAGCGTCCGTAGTCACTCTCGTCGGCAGGGTGGGGTCATAGATGCTAAGGACGGGTGTCATGAGCATAGCTGTCTTAAGTGCTTGGAATGACCGGCATGCGTCGTCATCAAATACGAATGGCATCTTTGGCAATTGTAATCTCGTCATAGGTGCAGCAATCCTCGAGTATCCGGTGATGAATCGCTGATAGTAGCCCGCCAATCCCATGAATGAACGAACGTCCGTGGTGTTGGTGGGCTCGGGCCATAGTTGTAGGGCCTCGATCTTGTCCGCAAGCGGACGGATGCCTTGCGGCGTCACATAGTGTCCCAAGTACTCCAGCTCCTGCCGCGCGAATTCGCACTTGTCGCGGTTGGCTTTGTACTTGGCTTGTCGTAGCCGCTCCAAAACGGTGCGCAGGTGTTCCACATGCTCGTCCAAACTCCGACTGTACACCAGGATGTCATCGAGGTAGATAAGTACGTATCTATCCAGCATGTGTCGGAACTCCGTTGTCATAGCCGCTTGGAAAGTGGCCGGGGCATTCGTAAGGCCAACTGGCATAACCAGCCATTTGAAATGCCCATATCGCGCGGTCTTGTAGCGATCCTCCAGCCGAATCTCGAGTTGGTGATATCCTGACTTGAGATCGAGCTTGGAGAAAAACTTGGCGCCGCCCAGTCGCTCGAGAAGATCGTCGATGCGTGGGAGAGGGTCGGCGTTTCTGATCGTCTGCGCGTTGAGCTTGCGATAATCGATGCACAACCGCAAATCCTTGTTCTTCTTCCGGACGAAGAGAACAGGAGCACCGTATGGCGATGCGCTAGGCCGAATCCAGCCTTTCTCCAGAAGGTCGTCGAGTTGTGCCCGAAGAACACTTAACTCTTCCTCGCTCATTCGGTAGATGCAATCGCGCGGAGGTTCGACCCCGTCCTCGAGGATGATCTCGTGGCAGATGGGCCGCTCCGGTACTAGTCCGTGCGGGCCTTCGAACACGTCGCTGTAGGCGTTGAGAAGTTCGGTGATGCGTGGATCCGAAGATGAGTCCGTCGATGAAGCGTCATGGGGCGGGAGGGCGTGGGGAAAACACTCCCCCATCTCCTCGATGTCGTCTCTGATGATGGAAGCTCGCATGCTTGTGGCGGATACCACGTGGCAGTTGATCGAAGGATGAGGAAGAGGCACCGTGCATGGGACTAGTACTCCGTTCCGATCACGAATGTGAACGGTGCGGTGGTATAAGTTCACCAGGTGATCCTCACTTCGCAGCGATGACATGCCCAAGATCATGTCGAATTTGGTGTCCAGAATGTCAAAGGACACCGCCTCACTTGCGTGAGGGGCAAAGTACACTGGGACATCATCAATGCACCGGTCGAATGACTTGTGCATGTGACCGTCCGCCAACGTGACTTGCGTAGGCTGGGGCTTCCTTCGGACGAGTGGGCCAAGGTCGGCGCGCACCATGAAGTCCTGGCTGATGTAGTTGCGAGATGCTCCGCAATCGATCAAAGCGTTGCAGGTCGCTTCTCCGATCTGAATGCGTACATATAGCAATGGTGCGTCGATGTCGTCGTACCGTTGCGTCTTGAACTCGCGGTCGATCTTCGCAATGTAGGTGTGAAGGTCGACAACCTCTACTCCGGCATCCATCAACGGAGTCGGTACTGCAGTGTGCAAGTAATCCCGCAATTGTGCCATGAGCACGTTGCAATGCGGTTTCAGAAATCGACCGGTCGGGGGAACGGGCATCCACTGGAAGTCCGTGAACGTCAATGGGTCGAGCTCTTCAAATCTTGACCATGACGTCGAAATCCCTGGCGATAGATTGCGGCGAAGCTGCCGAATCGGTTGCCGCTGGTGATGAAACCGTGCATGTGGCAGATTGTTGCACGTGGAGCGGTTGGTCCAACGGTGGGACCAAGTGGACAGCATAGTCCTCGTAAGTGTACCGAGAACTCACGGCATTCGCATCCTCCCCAGATGTGTAGGAGGGCCGCTAGCAAGGGGGCCGAATCTGGCGGAGTGGGAGGTGGAGTCGCCTCACCTCCCGCGACTTGCGTGGGCTGCGATTTCCTTCGAACGCGCAGCCCAAGGCCGGCGCGCGTCATGAAGTTCTGGCTGATGTAGTTGCGAGTAGCTCCACAATCAATCAAGGCGCTGCAGGTCGCCTTCCCGATCTAAACGCAAACGTAAAGTAACGATGCGTCGATGTTGTCGTACCTTTGTGTGGCGTACTCGCGGTCAATCTTCGCAATGTACTCGCAAAGCTCAACAACCGCTTCTCCATCTTCCATCACCGAAGTTGGTACTACAGCGTGCAAGTAGTTGCGCACTTCTTCCATTAAGGCATTGCAATGCGGCTTCGGCAAGGAACAAGATGGGGTAAGATGCATCCATTGGAAGTTCTCCGGCGTCAATGACCATATCGACAAGTCCCCAAATAGTGTCGGCGAGGATGCTGGTTCGCTTGGCGATGGTGATGAGGTCGCGCACGCATATGACTGTTGCATGTGGAGAGGTTGGTCCAATGGAAGGACCAGCCGGACAGCATAGTCTTCATAGCTTCCTTGAAGACTTGCGACATACGCATGTTCCCCGGATGTGGAGGAGGTTGCTGGCAAGGCAACCGTGTCCCGCGGAGTAGGAAGTGGAGTCGCCTCACTTCCGGCGCAGTTCAGTTTCCCGAGCTTTGTCGTGGACGGACGTCTTCTTTGCCTTTGTCAAGGCATTGCCACGTCGCGTGCTTGGTGCTATTGCACCAATAGCAACAGTTCCACTCCTGGCGGAGCTTGTATTGCTCCTTCGTGAGGCAGAACTTCTTCCACGGTTCATTCGGCTGTGCGGCTTTCGTTGTTGACGCAGATTTCACATTTTTCTTGTTGTTGTTGCGTCGTGGAGGAAGGGCATTGACTCCGTCTCCTTCACTAGACTCGTGAGTCAATGCCTCATCGTCCTCTTGTCCATCGCATTGGACAACAGCGAGTTGCTGTGGCCGCAGGCCTTTGCCCTTCTCCACAAAGTTCGGTTGGCTTCGCCACTCGTTGGAGGCCCACCGCTTTGCTTGGATTACTTTGTGCGCCGTTTCCACGATCAGGTCAAAGTCTGTGTACAGGCTGCGCTCCCCAAGGGCTATGCTCAATGCGTCGACCCACCGCTGGAAGAATTCGCAACGAAGATGTACGAAAGGTATATCGAGATTCGAAATCGTCATGAGTTTCTGCCATTGGGTTAGTGTTGCAAACTGTAATGGTGCAGACCAGAACAAGAACCGACCTCTCAATACAAAGTACAAGATGGCGTAGCGGAAGACTTAGATACCAATGATCCGAACAATCAATATTGCAAYGCAGCCCTGAACATACATCATCATCATCGTTACATGGTGTGAATGGGGTCTCGCGCTTCACACAGGAAGACTGCGCCAGCCCCTACCATACACAGACGAAGAAGAAGGGGGTTAGACGAAGAGGAGGGGAAGATGGGAATGTTGTCAACACCAAGTCTTCGGCACAGGCCCCAATAGTCCCTCGTCGAAATGTCTGAATCCCAAATGTCAAGTCTCGATCCAATGTCGTCAAGTCCCAAGTCACAACTCTCTCTCTCTCTGTTGTAGTCTGAGAAGTCTGGTGGGGAAAGGTTGAGAAGAGATGGTGGACTTAGAAGAGGAAGAAGAAGAACTCTCTCTCTCTCTCTCTCTGTGTCCAGTACTAACCTGTGAAGTTGGCGCCCTGATGCAACTCTCTCTCTCTCTCTCTGTGTCCAGTACTAACCTGTGAAGTTGGCGCCCTGATGCAGGTACCTCGAAGATGGAGCTGGAACTATGGCGCCACATGTAAGTACCGCTGGCCTCCGCCAAACATCTCCCTCCAATGCTACTACTACCACCTATTAGCGCCCAGCGCTGAAGACTACACCTACAACTATGGGCGCCCAGCGCTGAAGACTACACCTACAGCTATGGGCGCCCAGCGCTGAAGACTACTGCTAGCGATGAAGACTACTGCAGCGCTCCTCCCGAGTGCTGCGGCCGAATCCTGAAGACTACTCGTGCCTACTGTCCAACTACCTACCCGTGAAGTGCATGGGAACTTCCTATGTACTACCGGGTGCC